TTAAAAAAATTGTATTCAAGGAACTAGTCCTGTCACCTTCTCTAAACAAACATATTATGTACTTTATATTACAGCAGCAAAATGCAAATGACATTAGCAGAAGTTGTGATCAGGGCTTGAAATAAAAACTGAGTGGAAGGATACAGTGGATGTAAAAAGTCTACATACCCTGTTAAAATGCCAGGTTTTGCAGATATGACTAAGACAAATCACTTTTCCACTTTTAATGCAACACATACTGTAAGCTATACAATTCAATTTAAAAACAAGCTGAAATCTTTTAGGGGGAAAAATAACACTAAAAACTTACAATAACATGGTTGCATAAGTGTACACACCCTTAAACCAATTCTTTGTTAAAGCACCTTTTGATTTTAGGATAGCATACAGTCTTTTGGGATAATAGCATGGCACATTTTGCCTTGAGAATCTTCTCCTAGTCTTCCTTACAAAAATGCTCCAAATCTGTCAGATTGCGAGGACATCTCCTGTTCACAGCCCTCTGGAATTATGGCCAAAAAATTCAACTTAGTCTCAACATTTTCCCCACATACTTTTGTCAGACATTATGTAGTTTTTTGCAAAACGTAGTCAGGCTTGGATGGGTTTTTTTTGTAAAAGAAGGCTTCAGTCTTGCCACCCTTCTCCACAGCCAAGACATATGAAGAATACAGAAGATTGTTGTCACATGTAGTACACAACCACTATTTGCCAAAAATTCCGGAGGCTCCTTTAATGTTGCTGTGGGTCTCTTGGCAGCCTCCCAGACCAGTTTTCTTCTTGTTTTTTCATCAATTTTGGAGAGATATCCAATTCTTGGCAATGTCATTGAAGTGCCATAAAAGTAGTCCTCGACTTACGACCACAATTGAACCCAAAATTTCTGTTGTTGAGTGAGCTATTTGTTAAGTGAATTTTGCCCCATTTTACCACCTTTCTTGCCACAATTGTTAAGTGAATCACTGTGGTTAAGTTAGTAACACGGTTATTAAGTGAAAATGGCTACCCCCTTGACTTTGCTTGTCAGCTCACAAAAGGTGATCACATGACCTTGGGACAGAGCAACAGTTTTAAGTATGAACCAGTTGCCAAGCATCTGGATTTTGATCACATGCTCATGGAGATGCTAGAAAGGTCGTGTGAAAAATGGTCATGTCACTTTTTTCAATGCCATTGTAATTTTGAATGGTCACTAAATGAAATGTTGCAAGTCAAGGACTACCTGGTATTTTCTCCACTTGTTGATGACTGTCTTGACCATGCTCCATGATATATAACAAATGCCTTGGAAATTTTTTGTACCATTTTGAACCTTTCTCCTGACTGATACCTTCCAACAATGAGATCCTTTTGATGCACTATAAGCTCTTTGCAGACCAGGCCTTTTGCTGTAATAGGCAACTGAATAAATGTTAGAAAATCTATTAGAACAGTTGTACTTTATATGGACTTGATCAGAATCACTTTAATTGATGGTACATCAGTTAAATATTCTGTATGTACTGACTACTGTTTACCATCAGTTTGAATGTGATTGGTTAATTCTGAACACAGAAATATCCCTACTTATAAGAGGGAGTGTATGCTTAGGCAACCATGTCATTGTATGTTTTTTATTATTTCCCTCCCTAAAAGATTTGTTTGTTTCTCAATTGAAAACTGATGTGTAGACTTTTTATATCCACTATAGATGAAAGAATGCGCCACAAATAGTCTGGCCATCTGTGAACTCAGCTATTGAATTTGCACTTTTTTTAAATGACTACACTAATTTCATCCGATGCTTGAAGTGCTATATTGGATAACACTTGATAACAGCATTATGCCTGCAGTTATATGTATGAATGTTGCACATATTATGTATGATTGATGGTACCCCTTCAGAGGTTAACTGAAAGTGTGACCAGTGCTGTTTTGGTACTGTATTCAAGTACAGCCTGTATCTTGCCTGAAGTGATTCCAGATAATTTCCTCCAGGACCCTGTTGAAGTTGTAGCCTGACTATCTTCTACCTTCTAGCACTGATGATATTACCTAGAGTAATAAAATGTCTGCAAGAAAACAAGCAAGCCCAGAGAGCATCAAGGACCCCTCATTTCAACCCTGAGCTACAAATATTCTTCTTCATTGGTACCTTCTACCTTTTGACATTTCCTAAAAAAAATAGTTAGTTGAAAATTGGACGAAAATTATCAGTATCTTAGTACTGTAGTACAGTATTTTAGAATACAGATAGCTTTTGGAGAATAGGGTTTGAGAAATAAGGAGTACAAAAAGGAAATATCAAAATAACAGACATGCATTCAGAAAGCTCAGGGATTGGAGCATTGGGCAAAATTGCCAAATTAGAAAGAAAAACTGCCCACGCTTCAGTGATGAATTCAAAATAATTTTGACCCACTTATGTTTGAGTTCTAATACTTCCAGAAACAGATTACATTAAACACAGCTCCAGAAGGTAATTTACAGGTTTACAGTGAAAGCCTGATATTTTGTCCCCTCCCCCCAACTGGAGTTCCCCTTCTTCTTTATTCCTTCTACACTGGTAAGAAAACATCAATTTTATCATTCTCATCACTTGGGCCTGAAGGGGACAGTTGCTGATTTCATCATTTTATTTTTAAAAGCAAGTTTGACTGAAGTAAAACTAGCGTTACAGGATAGGATAATGAAAGACAATTTTGCAGACTGAATTAACCTCGAATCTGTTTTGGAGTAGAGTTAAAACAATTCTGGATGCCCTGGCAGAAAGAGGATAATTGGGTCTACATTCCAACATTTTGTAACTCTGATAATAAGAGCTTGGAAACTGGATGTAGGAGAGGCTCATGAATAATGCATGAACAAAATTGATGTAGTAATATAAAAGACACACTACAAAAAATGAGCAGTTCTAACATGCAACAGCTTTTGTAATTGATGTTTGTTAGCATTCTGCCCTGGTTTATGGAAGGGGGAACACTTCAGAATTAAATGGACCAATTTGCACATGGGATAGCGAGTTAGGTGTTACTTTATATTTTAATGAAATAACAGTTCTGTAAAGTAACTCAATTTCAGTTTTTCTATTTACATCAATAAGTCTGTAGTATTATTCTTAACAAGTAAAAATTGCAGCTCAATTACTGTTAGAACAAAACTGATTGAATCTTGAAAGTATTTTGTAACAGTGTTTTAAGTTTGCAAAGTGCTCCATATGGCTTGTTTTTAAACAATCCAGTAAAATTTATATTTTGATACTGTAGATAAAATAGCAAATGTTAAGAAAGAAAAGCTTGTGTAAGGTCACCTCGTTAAGAAAAAAGGTCAAAATGAACTAATGATTTTCTGATATGTCACATTTGTTTGAGATTTACTGCATAAAAACAATTGGCTCCATTCACATATGTTAGCCTCAAAACTGAATCACAGAGTTTGGCTTACTGTTATGTGTAAACCCATGTTGTCTCATTTTTTTGCTGCTTGATATGCACCAGCTCTTTATGAAGGAAGAATTTTGCCTGAAATAATGTTCATAAAGAACTGGCATGCAATCAATAAATGTAGATTTAAGAAATGTTTTTTAAATTTCTAAGTACTTTTGGAACTCTCTTCATTTTTCGTTTAATGCAAACTTCTCATAAAAGACTAATAAAATATCAGACATTGTTATTCTTACAATATACAATTTGTATTAACATTAGAGCGGCGTGGTGGCCTAGTGGTAAAAATGCTCACCTCCCACTTGGAAGGTTACGAATTTAATCCTAAACAGTGACTAGGATTGAACTTCTCTCAAGGAGTAAGTAAACAAACAAACAAACAAACAAATCTGCTGTGAACTCTTTGTAGGCCTCAGGAAAGGCATCTGGCCAATAAACACTTCAGTTCCATTCAGTCACCCGGACTCTACCCAAAATTAAAGGATTACAGGGTTGTAAAAAGAAAAAAAATGTAATATTAGTCCTGCACATTCAATAGAATAATGCAATAATGATAAGCAAATAATTATGGCAATGTGTGAAGTTTTGCACTTGAAGAATTTCAAATCTTTAAACATGGTGCAATAACAATTCCTTTTGGTTTTAGAATATTAAAATAATGTATATGTTCTGGATGGGATATATTCCGTATCCAAAGATAGAAAATGTTTCTAGACCAGTGGTTCTCAACCTGTGGGTCGGGACCCCATTTGGGGTCGAACGACCATTTCACGGGGGTCGCCAAACAAGGCTGTCCGCCATTTTTTCTCCCTTTTCTTTGGCCACGCCCCTGGCACCTGGTGATGTATAAGTGGTTGGGGGTCACAACATGGGGGACTGTATTATGGGGTCGCGGCATTAGAAAGGTTGAGAACCACTGTTCTAGACCCAATGCTATCCATTAAAGTCCAGCTTCCATAAAAAAGTATGCTAATGTCAACTTCAGTTGCTATGTCTTTTCCGGGGCAGATAATTTTGATTATTGTGAATATTGTGACACAAGTATAGTTAATTTCAAATCTGTAAAGGAAGAGGTGTAGGACTTCCACTGAAGTTAGTTCAACAAAGCCAATGTTAAATGAGTACAAATAATTCCAAAATGAAAAGTACAATGATAATTTAAAAAGTTAGCTGTACAATAATTCTTCTCTCATTCATTCAGACATGTTTTATAATCAGTTTTACTAAGACAGTCTTGCAAAATTCTACTCTATTCAAGGATAAGGTAGCAAAAAACCACAACCTATTCCCATGTATGGTTGCTAGAATTCAGTTGAAGCAACCTCAATAGCAGGCGAGCATGGGGCAAAGCATTGATTTTGTATCTCCTCAGAAAGAAACAGCTCAAGATTCCCGGTTTCATTCCATGTAAGTCTCTTTTTATATTAAATGTTGGTATGCCAGTTATGTCACAAAGATTAAAACATTTCTATTAGTGGGAAGTAGACTTACATGTTTGTGCTTGGTAAATATGAACTGTGGTTTGAGCAAAAGACTGCTAGTGTTCTCCGTGTTGTGCAATTTACATATTAAGTCAAATTGAATTTTGTATTATCAAAATTTATTCTTCATATATTTCTACAATTTGCAGACCTTAATTTCTCATGTACACCTACCTGTAGTTGTGAAAATGCAACCTATACACAAGACATTAGTTTTTAGTATTTAGAATTAAAGTATTACACCTTCTGTAAGTTTTCAAAATTTACATTGTGCTCCAATGTCAAATACTATTTACATATTCTTGTACCTCTATTACTAGTTTGTGACACAGAAAATAGTGCCTAAAATTTCTGAAATTGATGCATTGATAACAAGTTTCAGTTGTTTGAGGAATACATTCAAAATATTTTCTGTGATTCTCAGATGGATTGTTTAGACCTAAGTTTCAGATGAACATTTAAATACACATGTACAAAAATACAATCTCAGTTATAAATATGACAGAGAGCAATTTAAATATGTTACAGAGCAAACACTTTAGAAAGGATGGGGAGGAGAGAGTATTGTGGTCTTTGAGATCTCAAATAAAGTTAAACTTTTTCATGCTCTTTTAGTAAGATTTATAATATTGGGCTTCAGACACTATTCTGCACCACAAAATTTTTAACCCTTATATAATCTTTGCTAAAATTATAAAACCTTTAGTGCTATAACGCAGAATGACACTTTGGAATATTTATTTTGCTACAAATAGTATGTTGGTAAGACACTAGTGGCCTTCAACCTACTGAAATAAGAGAAATCCTCAATAAACTCTTTTCTTTGTAGTTTGCAATGGTTAACAAAGGCACCTGTAATTATAGCTTATAAACTAAAATTGAAAACACATTTGCATGTTTTAGTTGTGTATATAAAAAAGTACCAAAGTAGTGTAACAATTGTACAGTAAGCAATTCTTTGCAATTTAGTTCTTTTCAGCAAAGTTTTTAGACCCTATTATATATTTCAATAAGGATATCATTACAACTTTTGTCAAACTCCTCTCGTGTTTCTGACAAGAATATAAAAAAAGATAACATTACAATTTTTTCCAATTTCCAGGTAGAAATTATACTCTATACATTAGTTGGGTATAGATAGCTGCCTACAGTGCTGAAAATTAAAATAAAGTTTCATTACCAATACATGATCATTAGATGACGTTTAACGTTCAAAAAGATAGTTGTAATGACAGAAGGGACAGCTATACACTTTTATTTTTTATACAATTTTTCAATTTATGGTAATTGTGATATTGTAATATATTTAAAACAACAGTAGTAACTATTGTTTCTGAACTACAATCTGCCTTTAAATCAGTATAAAACTATCATTTCCAAAATATTTGAAAACTAATTTGGAAACATTCTTTAGCTAGTTCTGCATTTATTTGGCAGCATTGAATTGTTAATAGTTACATAAGCAGCATCTGAGGACCAGCCCAGATACTCTTTGAAGAAAAAGTGCTAGTACATATTTAATAAAAATCACTACATTTGGAACAAATATTTTTAAAAATATTACTAACTTTCCAGACACTATTACTATTAAAGTAAAAAATGTGTTTAATTTTCACACTATAAAGAATTCTGTGCTTTTTAAAAATCACAGGTTTGTTCACTTTAAAAAAAAAAGAATTGTAAAGCAAAATGTAAGCAATGAAAAGATTCTCCAACATTCTGTAACATGCATCAGCAAATGAATCACATGCTTTTTGATTTCTGTATCTTATATATCAGATTGGATAAGCATACACCCATATAATTTACATTTCATTTCCAGTGATATAAATATGGATTCTTGTGGAACTGCTTGACTTTATCTGTAGCAATATTTATATACATATTTATAAGCTAAGCACTATATTTAATGGCATTTCATTTCACTAGACCATCTTCTATTGCAGACATGTCAAACTCACGATGTCACGTGATGTCATGTGATGTTATCAGGACAGTTTTGCCATTGCCAGCAATGGGGTGGGTGCGGCTTCCATGTGACGCATCTGGCCTTTGACACCCCTGTTCTATGGTCTCCTGATCTCTGAATCGGCAATGTTCCAAAATACTAAGAGATCTACTTAAGGTTTTAAGATTATTCTTACATTCTAAACTCCCATTTCATATTGAACAAAGTAATGGCAAAACACTAGAACTAATATTCAGGACAGCTTATCCAAATGACTATATTGTTTACAGAAATGACAACATAAAAAGTTGTGCTACATGCTCATTACCATTGCTCTACTGTAATCATTCAAGAGGAATGTTTAAATTATTTTTCAAATTAAATAGTTTTCAGGTATAGGGTAACAGTTGATCAATGTCTTGTCTCACAACAAAACCAAATCAACGTTATCTGTTAGTATCTCATCCCCAAAGGCATTGCACTCAGTAAATAAATCAGTCAAAGGTCAGAGCTCAAAAGTACCATCAGAAAACTATAATCTTACAAATTAGGTGCAATGAATATTCTTTAAGTCAATGGCACAATTGCCATCAAGTTTACATATTTTGGATAACTAATACAGCCTATATCACAGTTATCATATAGCATTTTATATGGATTTCCCAATATATATATCTTAATCCATGTCTTTTCTGACAAAAAAAGGAAAGGAAGCACGGGTTGCCTTGCCATGTTAATGTGCATGAGAGGTGACAGAGAACACTTGGAAAGGACCGTAAGAATGGTTAACTGTCCCCTTGTCCCATTTCTTCCTGCACATATACTCCCTAAGCAGGTTTAATCACCTGGTTCAATTGGAATCTGACTAGGCTAATCTTGAAATTGCCTTGCATGGCAATCAGTAAAACAATCACACCTGCCTGTTCATCCAGTGCAAATTCTAAATTCCTTTTCCTCTGCAAATGTGTAATGTTTCATTTGGCTTTTTTAAAAATAAGTATGTTGAATACTTTGACAAAAATAAAAATCATGAAGAAAAGTTAAAGCATTATCTTCTCCCCATTATAAGTTTCTATGTGTGATGAATTTTAATAAGTAGTTTTCCTCCTTGCAAGCCCTACCATATGCAAATTTAATTTGATAAGAGCCCAGAAATTTAATGTTTCAATAGATATCGCTTACACTGGAGAAACAGCAGATCTATGTAGCCAATATAAAACTTTAAAAAGTTTTAAATTTTGGTTCAATTAACCACTGAATATGAAGCCCTAAAATATATCTAACCTAAAAATCAAATTCCAAATCAAAATATTTATTCTGTTTAAGCCTGCTTAGAAACTAAAGGCATCACCTTTAGGGTTGATTTTAAAACCATCATAACAAAGGACACATTTGTTCTTTTAACCAAATATGTTGGATTTAGGTCTGAGCTTGAAGGAAGCTTTCAGGGACTTTTCCTCTTCTTCTGCATCCCCCCTGAAAGAAGGGGTAGTATGGATGATTTGAGTATGGAATCGGATTTTGTTGAGTCGGGGTTTTATCCTACCACTGCCAGAGATTTTTCTACTGAGCTCTTTGCTCTTGTTGGCTGCTGCCGACCCCTCTCCCGATTCCCTTTCATCCCCATGGTGATGGTGGGAAAGCTTGTAAGTAATGAGGTTAGAGGGGAGCACCCTGGAAAGTCTCCAGCGGCTGTTGCCATTGGATGCCCCACTGTCGACCTCATCCTGCAGAGCCCCTACGAGGTTGCGTACCTCCTCGGCGGTGCCCCGGCTCAGGTAGTGCGAGGCCTTGCGGCCGCTGTAATCCCGAATATCAATATCGGCGTCGTAGGCGCCCACCAGCAGCTTCACCACTTCCAAGTGGCCGTGCATGGCGGCCAGGTGCAGCGCGGTATAGCCGCCGCTCGTGCGCGCGTTAATGTCGATGGGCAGGCACTGCCGGTGGGCGAAGTTGACCAGCCTGGCCAGCAGTTCGGGATGGCCCAGCTTGGCAGCCCAGTGCAGGCACGTGAAGCCCGTGATGAAATCGCGCTTGGGCAACAGCGCCGGCTCGCAGCTCAGCAAACTCTCCAGGCTTTCCCAGCGTCCGTCCGAAGCGCACAACATCCACGCGTGCTCCAACGGATCCAAGGCCACCGAGCCCCCGCCGCCGCCGCTCTCGTCCTCGGCCGACGAAGACGCCAGGGAGCCGCTGTCCGAGTCCCCGCCGCGGCTCCCTCCGCTGCCGCCGCGGTGCAGGAGCCCGCCGCGCTTCTGCTGAGGGGAACTGCCCAGCATCCGCTCCCGGAAGATTTTATGCCCACACCTGGGTGTGTTGGCGCCGGCAGAGGCTCCGCCCGCCGGGGCGCCGACAGCCGGGCTCGCGGAGGACGGCGAGTCATCTTCGAGCAGGGCCTCAACGGTGCCTCCGCCAGGCTTCTCTTCAGGCACGGCATCGCCCGAGGGCTTCGGTACGGCCTCCAGGCGCCGCGGGCTGCTCTGCTCTTCCTCCCGGCAGCCGCCGCCGCCTCCTTCTCCCGGGCTGTCTGGGCTCGCCAGAGGTGCCTGGGGGATTCGGGGTGAAAGCGCCTCCGGCGGTGCTTCTGAGGCTGAGGTGGCGGCGGCGGCGTCGCTCTCCTCGGGCGGCAGCTCTCCAGAGGCGGCAGACGGATCCCCTCTCGCCACTCTTTCTCCCTTCAGCGGTTCGGCGCCGGCTTTCTCTTCGAGGGCCGCTCCTCCATCCTGGCTGTCCCCGCCGTCGCCTTCGCCGTGAGGAGCGCCAGGGGGACGAGGCGTGTCCTGGGGGTGCCCGACAGTCCCGGAGCCGTTCTCGGCTGTAGAGGCCGCCGCCGCCGTTGCTTCGGATTTGCAACTGCCGGCAGTGCGGAGATACTTCTTGCGCAACTGCACATACTTGGTCCCAGAGCCGGGCTCCTGCCGCACCGTGGCTACGGCGTTGACCAGCTCCTTAAAGTGCTCGCGGGCCCGGCCGCGACTTTCGGGATCCGGCGAGATGAGGAAGCCACGGAAATGCTCCAACAGGTCGGCGTTGCGAGTCCGGCCTCCGCGCTCTGCCAGGAACCGGAGCACCGTGTCCTGGTCCAGTTCCCCCGACGTAGCCATAGGCCCCCACGGACCGTTGGCGGCGCCTCTCTTGACGATTCCGACCGCTAGCCTTCAGCGCGGGATCCCCTCTTGACTCCTTCGCTTGGTCCGCCATGGCATCGTCGCTGCCACAAGCCGCCCGACGGCATCGCCTGAGTCCGGCTTCTCCTTCTCCGCCCTCCCTCGGTTGTTGGACCCCACCAAGCCCTCCTTGCTCACGTGATGTCCGCGAGGGAAACAGGGAGGCGCCTATTTGCCGTTTTCAAACTGCCCTCCCCTCCCTTTAATGAATCTCGGCGCTGGAGAGGCTCTAAAGAAGCTCGCCGCTGAGAAGAAAAGCTCGGGGTGCTCGCCCGAAACCACGCCCTCGCGATGCTCCTCCCACATTAAGAGAGTAGGTTTCCTACTCCCCCGTAGAAGATAGTGCCGCTCATTACCCTTCTCCCCCCTACGTTCGTTTGCGGTTTGTGCAGCATCTTCTCCCGTCGAAACGGGATTGGCTGGGCCTTGGTCCCGCCCTCCTTTCCGCGCGGCCTCTCATCGCCACCAGTTACATTCCAGCTGTTGGGATTGGAGTTGGAAGTTCGGCACTGGCTCCCACCCTCCCTCTCTATTGTCTTTGGCGCGCGGTGACCCCTCCCCTCATGTCATGGCTTCTTCCGATGTGGCTCGGCAGCTGGTAAGTCCGAAGCGCGCCCTGGGGTGTGGGCAGAGGGAGAGCCGGCCTTGACTGGGCGACAGCGGTCCCTCTGTCTGCGGCCACATGCCTGCTTTGTGGGTAGGAAATCCCATTGGCTTACTTTTGGTAAAGGGGAAGTTGCAATCCCGAGATCCGCCTCGCCCCATTGATTTCGGCGGGCAGAGTTCGTCTTACTGGGCACAGGATCTGGCCTAAATTATCCAAAAAGGGCAGCTCTGTTGGACCCAGATTGTTTTCATTCATCCCATATAAAGGCTTCCAACTTCTGCAATCACTTACAGCTTTGTGTAAATCCGAAAACCTCTTGTCATGACTGCAGGCAAATAAAACTAGGAAAGTTTGCTGTCCCCAAATCAGTGAGTGCTTGCTTAGAAATTTTTTCTACATTGTTATTGGTTAGATTTATACTTCTTTTCTCCAGGAATTTGAGATATTGTACCTTGTAAAGTAGCTGACCTGAGAGATGGTGACTGGCACAGAGTCACTTTCCTGATTTTCCATGTCTGAATATGGAGTTGAACTTGACTTCTCATCCTAATCAGGACATTGCATTAGCTTCTGAGAGTTCAGGAGATTTACTTTCAAATGTAAAGTTCTCAATTGGTGGTAGCATAAGGCTAGTTGTGTCTAGGTTAGAAACTAAGTAGGATTTGGGTTGGTTAGGACTTGGATGGGAGATTTTCTGAACTATAATATAGAATGGAAAGTCAGAAAAGCATTCTGGAAGAAGCAGTAACAAATCACTGCAATGATTATGTCTGTCTGTGTCTATCTATCTATAACTAGTTTTCTAAAGAACATACATGCATGTCAGCCTTGCTGCAGTATTTCTTAAATGACTCAGGTAAGACATTAAAGGCTGCTAACAGGCTTGTTGTGATACTGGTTTATTGGATTAAACCTGGTGTACTTCACAAGGTCTGTGGCCCTGTTAAATACTTTAAAGGTTTCTCCTATATTTTTACCTTATTATTTCCACACAGTATATACTACTGCTACAAATTCCTAGGCACCCCCTCTGTCATTAATATTTCACCTTATTTATTTTTCCTTATTTTCCTTTCCTGCTTGAGAAACTGCTTGAATATTCATCTTTTAACTTTTCTATAAAACTTTTGCTTTTTTTCGGAGCTTTTTTTTTTTAATTGTACCACTTCAACTTGAACATTTCTATATAAAAACTTCACATAGAGGAAATTAGGTGTTAGGAAAGAAGAGTATAGAAGTTGTTTCCCTTATACTTGCATGGATTTAAGTCTTGGAGTGTTGGAAAATTATCTCTTTGTATATGACAGCATTAGGCCATGTTTTTGCATATATCCAGTCTAAAGTATTACAACTACAGTAAAAATAGTTCGTCCTTCAATAGTTATTTGGCAGTTCAGTAAGTTTTTAAATGGTCAACTTTTACGCACATATTTAATTTAAAAATAAATTCACATATTAACCAACCAAATTGTTGCTGCTGTCCAATGATAATATGCTTGGAAGACAATTTCATTGAACACAAGAAAATTTATCTTTGAGTCAGTTTGAACAGCACTGCATTTCCAGTATCTTTATGGTACCAATGTAATTCAGTTGTATGTATCTATATGAATGTAAGCTGCTGATGCTATAGAGGCAATTTAGATATATTTGAAGGTTTGTGTATATATATTTGTGTGTGTGTATGTATGCGTATGTATGTATATACACATATGCACATATATACAGCTTAATTGCTTCTGTAGCATAAGCCAGTTTACATTCACAATATATTAATTTGTCAGGTTGCTCTTATTAAATACAGCCTTTGAATTACTTTCCATGCCTTTCTAAGCTTTTATCACGTCAAGATTTTCCTCCACACCCAGCACTATTCTATAATCAAGTATCTTTTATGCTGGTAACTCAACATTCTACCCTTATAACTAATAAAGCAAGACCCACATTTTCATCATTACTCTTTTGAATCTATTTAGCCCAGTCTTTTTTTCTATAAAGACAACATTTCCTAGTTATGTTAACATCTAGGGATTATAATTTTATCAGCTGTTGTACATATTTAACTTTTTGTATTGTGTTTGTAATTTGATTTTAACTGATTTTATGATTGTTTGCTGCCCAGAGTCACTTGTTTGAGGTGGCCATATAAATACATTGTTTAAAATAACTATTCAAATTATGTTTTAAATATTTAAAAATTTCCCTGATGTTGAAAAATGAATTGCATACTAATGAGGTAAAAACCTATCCATAGGCTGCTTCTATCGTGGATTAATGAGAAAAAATACTAGTGTTTTAAAATAATTGCATATTTTAGTGTAATATTCAGCTACAGTTCTGAACAAATCCTGTTTGTATATATACATTGAAAACCCTCATTCCTTACCCTATTTATAAGAAGAGTGTGAGGTAGCTTGCAGATTTAAAAGTGTATTAAATGCTGTGGCAATTTTCCACACAATTATGAGCAAGCCTAAAACTGCAGTATGAATGCATTAACACCTTCAAGGGAAATATTAGAAATATGTACAAGTAATCTTTTACTATCTTTCATTGTGAAAAAAAAAACATAAAAAGGTATCATCTATTATTAGTACTATATCAAAATTTAAATTGTTTGTGCTTGGAGGAATGTTAAGAGATTTTCTAAAATTTATACACTGATTTCCTTTGCATAGATTTGAATCTAATTTATTTGCTGTCCCCATTCTATTATGAAATAATTGGATTGAAAAGAACAATAGTCAATGATATACCTTCTATGATTTATAGACTTTTATTTTTCTAAGTTTGACTCCAAACTGTACTTTAGCAATATACAGATGTTGTGAGCGTACTTGTTTCATAAGAAATGGGCATATTTTGACTACTGTATAGCACTCTAGATGATAAAGCATTAGTCTTGTTATTGTTGTCCATTGTGTATGGCTAATTTTTGAAGTGTGTATGATAGATAAAGAATGCATTCTGTAAAGATAGTGGCTTCTTCAGGTAAGGATCTGTGAAGATTCAAGAGAAAAAAGTAATTAAAAAGATAGCTATTATTTAAATTTATAATACCAATATAAATGATTTATAACAAAGTTATTTAAATGTTCAAGCCCTTCGAAAGATTTCCGTATCGCAGACACTTGAGTCACTTAACTTCCTGATTAAAACTTGCATCTACAAGTATGTTCTTTGGCAAAGATTCAGGGACACAGAGAAATAATTGGCTCGGTATTTCTTATACACTGTTTGCAGCAGTGTAGGAGACAATTTGTATCCTGTTTAAAAATGCATATTCAGTTATATTTTCGTTCTAGAGATTTACTCTAGAAATGGGTTTTTTTTGTTTTCTACAGCAAAATGTAGATTTTGCTTTTTTTTTTTTTTTGAAAAAATAGATAATTTGCCAAATGGCAAATTTCATTGTTCTACAAGAGATAAAACAAAATTGCTGCTTCCGCTAAGTTTTTTATTATTACCTTTTCTTTTCCTTTATTTTTTCCTTTATTAAAATGATTAACAGGGAATTTTCAAGCATCATGAATTAAGTTAAAAATGCAATACAGTATTCCATTTTAGTTTAAAAAACTAAATATACTATATAATTTTAAAACTACAAATCGCTGTTAAGCTCCAAGTAATATATGAATATCAACAACAATGATCAGCACTGATATTAAGAGTTGTAATTTACCAAAGTAATTTCTGTTAAGAAAACCCCAAATTTCAGATGAGGTTCAGGTGCCTAAATAGAGGTATAATATAAAAATGGTTCTCCAACTGAATTAATTTCTTTAAATTCTTTTGAAATCCAAGCTGTTTTTGACATTGATCATATTTCCATAGTTTAATAAGCCATTCTTCTGCAAAGAGAATTATCCATACTCTTCAATAGGAAGTGTAGAGCAATAATCCCCAATCTTTTCAGCTCGGTGGATCAGTGGAAGTAGCAGTGGACTAGTTCCGCAGACTAGTTCCAAACCCTAGTTCCCTGGTGTAAAGTATCCTGGCAACAGATACCATGTTCAAAGTTAATTCAGTATAGTAGCTAAAGTGGATGTTCAGTGATGATGAAGGGTGAGACAATGAACAGTGAAAGTGAAGAAGCGGTGGACTGGTAGAAAGAGTCTGCTACTAGTTTCCTCAGTTGTTTGTACGATAATGGAGTAATTGCTGTCTTTATCTTCTACCTGTACAAGTAGTCCTCAACTTACGACCACAATTGAGCCCAAAATTTCTGTTGCTACACGAGATAGTTGTTAAGTAAATTTTGTCCCATTTTACAGTTGTTGCCACAGTTATTAAATGAATCACTGCAGTTAAGTTAGTCACCACGATGTAAAAAAGATGTTGAGACTCTAGAAAGAGTACAGAGAAGAGCAACAAAGATGATTAGGGGACTGGACGCTAAAACATATAATGAATGGTTGCTAGAATTGGGTATGTCTAGTTTAACGAAGAGAAGGACAAGGGGGGACATGATAGCAGTATTCCAATATCTCAGGGGCTGCCATAAAGAAGAGGGAATCAAGCTATTTTCCAAAGCACCTGAAGGCAGGACAAGAAGCAACGGGTGGAAACTAATCAAGGAGAGAAGCAACCTAGAACTAAGGAGA